TTGGTGAATTAGACTACCCGGTACCTGTCAGATAGGACACCTAGATCGTGCGTTTAGGCTAAGTAACCTATTCCTTGCTTTGAGATCATGGCCTTAGCACAGGATCGTACAATATATATAACGCATGTACTCCGTCCACCGAGGGGTATTTAGCCTTATGCGTAAATGAGACAATTTAGGGGAAGCTGTATGTTACTCGTGGCTTGCAGTATGTACACTGTCGAGGTTTCCAAGTTTCAACTAATTGTCAGCGAAGCCAGGTTGATGTAGTACAGCTCCCAGCCCATGGCGCGCATACGAAAAATAGTATCTCAAGCCTCTGGTCCTTTAAACGAGCACATATGGGATGCAAATTAATGGAGCTGTAGATAGTTCACTCGTATTCTTTCAAAAAAGCGACAATGAGTGACAGGGATGTTATCAAGAGGTCAAGCTGCGTAAAGCTCTGTCAAAACGAAAGATAAATTCTCAATAACCGAAACAATAAATAAGTGTCCTGTTGAAAAATTCCCCAAACGTAACAAGCACTCTGCCTACGAAGGCTTCCTACAATAACCAGAGAGTAGCCCAGAATACAAGAACCATTAAATTCAACCTCAACCCGTAATATTCTCCTTTATGTCAAATCAATTCGACGTTCTGAAAGTGTTCAGTCATTTGAGCAATTAATGCGATTTAAGAGCATACAAGGGAACTCTGTCAAGGGAGAGAAATCAAAGGAGCGTGTGCAGGCTATGGCCGAAGAGTTCGAAGGAGGAATTTCGCCGCCTGTGTGTATTACTTTTTCATGGAGGAGCCTGAGGGCCAACTCAAAACGTTCGCACGTGTTCGCTGGTTATTTGGAACGAATGCAAACCGGAAGAATATCACCCTATCTGTGCGTTTTGGCCTGTTGATTGGTGTAGTCTACCAATTGCAAAACTAATCTTGGAAATCAATTTCGTAGGGTTCATTCCGAGGCAACAATACGCGGCCTAATGACAAATCTGGCCGAAGTGAATGTGAGAGGAGAAACGAGGTCTACCTAAGGAACACAGGATGGCTGCAAACTAAATATGGATTTTGGTAAACGGCACAAGATATCTCTCGGCAAGAAGATTGTCCGAAATAGAGGCACAATTTCCATCAATCTATCTGCATTAATGAATCTAGGGATCTGGCAGTGCACAATAAAAAACGACTGTCTGGGACGCCTGGCCGTCCCAAAACACTACGCAAACAAGTCGACAACGATCTGCAGAATCAGGATTAAGGTTCAACACAATGTAGACCGAATAACCGTCAATAATAGCTTCAAAAGCTGGTCCATCCATTCAGTCGTCTTAAAACGCATATCAGGTGCGATCAAAAGCATCCCCGATAGGATACTTACTGAATCATCACTGGCTCTCATTGCCTCTCGTAACCCATCGATATGATTGCGAGTTGCACTTGAGAGAGATTCCAAACTCATAATAGCTGCCTGGACAGCAGACGTGGCATCGGAGATTCCTTTGGCGATGTCGGTAGCTGTGAAGCGTGACGGAAGAAGGCATGTGGTGAATTTTCATGGAACCACAAATGACAGATCTAAAGTGATGTCCCAGTAAAGTTCAGAGACGTACGTCAGAAAAAAGTTATAAATTCCACAAAAGACCGGTGCTTCCGGTGTCAAAACAACAAAACGATAGACTAACTCGCAATGCGCTAAAATGTCCTGTTGACATACATTCACTGTTTGTGAAGAACAGTGAGTTAGTTGCAGTACTCATGGGAGTATGGGCCGAACTGCCTGCTGTTCTCTCCCCTTCCTGGTATATCTGCGCCCTGAAATATGAAGTGCCACCTGAGCATCGCAACACACTAAGCTGACGGCTCCTAGACAGGCGACAGATGGTGCGGCAAAAAGCTGGTAAGTCTAACTGGAACTACCCCTCTATAGAATGGAAGTGAATCTGGAAACGAACACAACATCCGTTTTCACCATCAACTTGAATAGTAACACCAGAATTGCAAACAAGTGTCTTGCCGTAAACGCGTCGAAGTTGATGAAGAAAGTGCTGCGGGAACGAGGACCAAAGCAACGAAAGGAAAGAATAATAGGACAAATACGAATAGCCGGTTTGAACGACAATATGCCTGTACCTCCGTGGAACACCCAGTTTTCAAAACTCTGAAATAATTGTACACGTGAATGTTGCACATGCTGTTCTCTTTTGCCTTCCTCAACTGGTATAAGCCAGTTGGCACGCCAGTTGTCGAATATGATGGTGGTGGTGACGTGGTTACTGAGGGGCAGCTATTTTCCCGACCAAACCAACCGCTAACTAGACGAAGACAGACCCGCTGGAACCGAATTCATCGGCCGTTTAAGTGTGCTTGGCAGGCGCATAATCCTCAGACTAGCAATGCATAACTGCTAACCAAATGTCTCCTAGATCAATATTTCTCAAGTCCCAATAATGAAACGAAAAAGGAGAGAGGGCCCTCTATGGATGAGCCCTCCGAAAAACGTGGATATCAATCAAAACGTGGCCGAACTGGATAGGGACACATGCATAAGCATACGAGGAACTCACTGATTCTCTCTGCAGGTACAGCATGGGCACGCTCATGGTTCATTTGTACAAAGTCATCAAGTGCAGGTATGTTTTTCAGCTACTCATCGTAAAAAAGATGAACACAAGGAGATAAATGACACTATTGTGAGCAGAAATGAAGAGAAAAAGAGTCAATCACCACTGTAAATACCAAACTAAAATACTGAACCCTTCTAAGGAAAACTGCCAGAAGGTTGTTTTTAGCCGGATAACAGTATAGTACTCTGCACACCCCCGTCTCGTATGGAACCAGCGAGACACATGATTGCGTAGTCTAACCAATTACATGCCTCAATATTTGGCATGAAGTTATAAGCCAGCACAGCACACTCTGGGTCTGCGAAATAAATACCCTAGCCAGATTTAATGAAAGTGGAGCGGTGTATCACCTTGTTAACCCAACTGAGGAGCTTACCTGTTCCACATGTGATCTGAAGAAGAGAAAAATAACATGATGTGAAAGAATGATTTCACAGCACCGCCTGAATCATTCTAGACACATGAAATGGCGTGCCATGAAGTAAAACGCAAAATAACCTCAGTGCTATTGAGTTCCGTTTACCTGAGGTATACTATAAACGAATGGTACATTGGCTACAGATGTCTCAGTTGTGTTGGTCAAGTAAGATGGAACTATGAGGGAGCAGATAAATAGAAAACAATGATAATTTGCCTGGTCACGGAACACAGTACTAGGAGTGGAATTGTACAGTTTCAACTCTGAGTGAAAGAACTGTAACCTCAACAGTAGAAACAATAGTTCAAGAGTACGGAAGCCGATCGCACTGCTGTTACCTATGACCACTAAACGGTTCTCAGCTTTAAAACAACTGAGATGCGGTTCAACATTTTCATTCCCGAGCGGGAAGCACCATTTCGGATGACGCTGTCAATCGCACGATGCATCACATAAGTAACAAATAAACGTAGGTGAAAACAAATAGCTAAAATCCAAAGTCTAAGCCAATAGAGTACAAACAGATGAAGTCGACAATGGTGGACGCAATGGTCTGGTCTAGATTAACAAGACTTCAAGCCGGGTTAACATACGGGATCTCTCATTTGTGATAGTTTTAAAGGCCGAATAAATATCAAATTGGTCAAAACAGTTGATAGGTGTTCGGCGACAGCAGCGAAATCCAAGCCGAAAGAACAATGACGGCAACTGGATTACTTCGAAATTTTCACTGTTTACTCACGTTTCAAGTCTTCCTTGAGTTCTCATATGAATGCTGTGGCTTGTAAAGTGTCTGACATCGTTGAAGCAAGAATACAGAGTGACAGAGGACTTTTCATTGGGGAGATCGGGGTAAGGGGAGACCTGCATTGAATGCACGCCATTGAGCGAGTGACTGAGTCACAGCTGGTGGCGTCCCAAACCACTGATGTGTCCCGTCTCCTGGTCACCATTCAAGGAGAGGACAGTAAGCTGATGTTCCAATAGGACCACCAGTGACGCAGGCGGATGGGAGTGCCATGTTTAGCTCGACCAGAGAGAGAGTGATACAGCTACTTAAGAATGGATCATACGTAAAAGACGAAGGATTGACTATTCTCTTCTGAAGTTACTATTCCCTCAATTGAAGTCCAAAGGATGAAATTACCTGTTCGATTAGTTGTCATTACGGTCGGTACCCACTGGCACCGAGTTCACAACTTGGCTGTTTAGTGAGGAGAGATAAGCTACTAACCATACTGAGTAAGAACGTATGGGCTCTGACGCCTCCTAATTCCACAGACTCGCTTGAAAACCACTCTTTTCAGAAAGTGTTAGGTTATCAAGCAAATTAAAAATGTACAAAGCTGGGCTCCGTAGTTTGAAGACCTCTTTTTATACCATTGGACTTTTATGATGTACAGTGACATTCAAACAGGGGAAAGAATCCCTGAGCTTCTCATTGGTGAGGAAGAAACCACCAGTGAAATGTGGAAAATAAAGGTGGGAGATCGAAAGAGGAAAACTGCGGATCGATGTTGTGGATAAACTGCAGCATAACCGATGGAGGTGGAACGACCTTCATCAACTCCCAGAAAGTTTCAAGACGCGGTCATTCAACCCTACTACCTAGCCTAGGTCAAACAACTTTTTTCCTCACAGATACGTAACTAATTTCGTCGTACGGTGAAAAATCAGACCGCGGAAGCTCGTGGCAGAGAACTGGTTGTGATCACTCGCTGTTATGTGAAGTTCGGTAAAGACGGTAGCGTGCTTTAAAAACCTTTGATACGATTGACGCAAATCCATTTACAAGGATACTGAAATGACGTATTCGATGATGTCATTTGGAGTATTACAGTAAGACAGAAACTTAGAAATCCCTTGTCGGAGGCGAAAAAACGAGCCTTTGTGCAGTCACGGACAAATCAATGAGAAATTTTGTTCAGTGCCACGAGAGATCAACGAGACTATTCACTTGCCACCACCCAGTTATCTAGGTATGGAAATAAGGCCCGCTTTTCCTAACCAAATAGCAGACGACATCGTTGGTACTTAGTAACAATTAAGAACCGAAGTTCATCGGCTGCCTGTGCAGTGGCGACATCAAAGTTATTGTATATGAAAAACGGACGTGATAGCTGACAGGTCACATGGTATTTGACTGCTATCGCCGACAGTTTAAATTGCTCTCCCAAGTTGTTTTCGGTCGGACAACCTTTCGACACCGTGTTAGGGATCGTTCTCATTAGCGATGCGTACCAACAACTGTCTCCACACCTTGGTTTCCCTTTATAAAAATATACTGTGATATCCCGAATACCGTGCCAACTGAATCATGAGGCGGCCTATGTGCAGCACATTCAGCTGGAGGACATCATAAACGAGAGATTCAATTGAGTCACCCGCGAAAACCAAATTGATTTGCAAATGAGTGTATTTCTTGAAAACAGTGCAATTTGGGTTCAAGTAGATCATAAGGTTGACGGAAACTCGGAGACTGCGCCTACCTGATGAGCCCCAAGAAGGGCGAAACCGGTCGTGGGCTGTCGAAGAGTTTCCAGCAACCTTGTGAGTAGCTTTCTTTATGTCACCAGTGGTAGTGCAACCACACAGCTTTATGGCTACTGAGCGTAGATATGCGAAAATCTTGAAAACCTGACCGATGATGTCTCCGATTTGTTGCCAGCATCTGGTTGCGGCATTGGATTGGGAGTGTGGAAGCCAACTAAATGACCACTTGAGGACAGAACTACTCTACATCTGACGAGCTAACCATAGTGCATCGGTTAGGTTGCTTAGGCTGTGTTTAGCACGTTATTGAAGCAGGAAGCCAGGTAGTTGGACAAACAAACATGATCAAGCTCTCACATGCGATCGTTTATTTACCGTCTGAATTTGGAACCACAACAAAGTCCATAATCGTTCAACCACTTCGCTAATTTACATGAAGAATCGACGCCCCAGCAGGAAAGTGTTACGGTTCTGTCACGCAGCGAGCAAACAATATGATAATGCGGATTGTGGCAATACTCTATCCCCAGCTATGTTGCTTGATCCAGACTCCTAGCACGGCGAATAGTAAGAAGACGAAAACCTCGGACACAAACTTTAATAATCCAACAACACACGATCAACAGGCGATGCCCGGAGCTTCCGAATCCAAGTCAGTGGAAAGAATGGTATTCTGTACGTGGTCGGATTTAAATTTCCTTGGAGTGTCAATAGGCCATTGATATTTCATAGTTTAACCTTGAAGATGCCGGGAGTTCGCTAGCACACATAAAAACACAGCGTTTTCTGGGGGATATTGATATCCCCAAAAGAAAGTGAGACAGACGTTCCTGTTCATATCTCTACGCCCTGCGGACCGGCCATTCTCGTTCGCAGTTTGCTGGAAAGTGGTTGTGTCCGTCAACCGTCGTGCACCTTTATTGTTGGACCTCCTACGGTGTCCATGAACGATTTGGCGGTTTGGTGTCAGTACAGGTGTTCGAAGTTGGACGCTGTTTGCGTACCAAGCACTTGTTGTCTCCTGCATGATAATGGTCTTTGCAGTGTTCTGATGATTCATGGCACTACTTTATTACTTACAAAGTAACAACTACTTTACAGTGCTCCTTTTTCGTCCAGCCTTATCTCAAGTGGCATGCGAAACAAGGTGGACATTCTATGGCCTCTAAAGGCCCCCCACTTGACACAGTCGGGTTGGATAGGACTTCGGGAGGCGGCACACGGTTGGTTAGTGACGCCACCAGACAATGATAATGATGATAGTCGTTCAGCTGGAATGCCTTTTTGGTGTCTACCTGCCACGTCACCCGAGGGATGCACGAGGGCTGAAATACTACCAGGTTGCCCAAGCTTGGATAAGGGCGGCCGAGATGCGGAGGTCGGGTTCGAACTACGTACCTTTGCGCCTTAACCACTGAGTTGACTGGAGCCGAGCAGACAAGCTTACGTTACATGGTCAGTAACGTCCATGGGTCAAAGCTACTGTTTTCGACGCCTAGCTCCCCAAATCCCAATTTCATCGGACAACCAGGACAATCCAATATCAACTAACCGATTAGGCCTATGCGTTCATGGTCTTGTTGACATATTTCCAATGAACCATGCTGCACTGGCTGGAGCCAATATACCCTCGGTAAACCGCTCAATGTCAGACTTCATGGACTTTCAGCGAAAGCAGTTTGTTTGGTCACTGAAACAGTGTAACCTGAAACTGTTTTACTCAAACTAGAATGATTTTGTCGTCAAATTTATCGAGTAGCTCAATGCTACAGAGATTCCTCCACGAAATTTAGGGGCGACTCGCAGGACCAAAAAACGAAAACCCGTTGAAACGGTTTTCCATTGTACGGATCACAACAGGTATGCTAACAGTGTCAGTCGTATATTGTTCAGTTCGGGTAACTGGGATACGTGCGAAGTCAGTGAAGTTTCAAACACTGAGTACTTGATGTGGCCGCGCTCACACGGCGGCCAGGACAAAGCATCGAGCACACTGGGCAGCAGGTGAAAAGGAAGACATTCCGCAAAAAACTGTGATGTTGCAAAGACTCACTCTTCTGCCGCTTTGGCGATAGTAGTGTCATGGATGTCGTCGGTGGGCTCATCAGGCTTTCTGGAAGAAAGAAACGATAAAATCATGGGTAAACTCAGAAGCGGGAAAATAGAAAAAGCGAGAGAAAAAACGAAAAACCATCAGAAACGAAGTGAAGATGGAGTAAAAACTGACTTGTATGCCTCAGATAGTGCGCCGGAAGACGTCACTTGTGTGTCCGTACTGGCGACCAAACTAAACAGAATGGTGGGTGCGGCAAAATATAGAAACCAACTAGAAATAAACAACACTTTGCTGATTAGACACAAACTATTCTCACGAAGGGGCGAAATCTGATTAAGAGGATAGACTGGCGATTAGCAGACAGTTAATCTGCTGGCTTCCAAATGTCTCGTCGAACCACGAGGGGTCGTCGTCAGCATACGGTTGCGTGGGCATTTCCCCCGGGTCTACTTACGTTTACATGACTTTTAAAATGTATCTAATATTTCCGGCATGATTGTATCAGGAAGGTCCTGTCTAGGTGTGGGAGTCCTGACAGTATCCCAGCCTGCGTACAGCCATGCACGGCAGCGAAGCATTAGTGATAAGCACTGACGTCATGCTGTCGATGACGATGACGCATCAGGAAGGTCAGATTCCTGAAGGAAACCACTAAATGCCCGAAATCTACTGAGAGCCTCGGCTCCGCTAGATGCTGACCAAGTAGACAACGCCCACTCAATGTGCAGCGCTTCACAGCCTTATATCAGACCCAGACAGCGCGAGTCAGCGTTGATTAAGGTCAGACAATGCCCCCCCCCCCCGCAATATGCAGCGCGCCTCAGCCTGGCACCAAAGCCAGACCGCGTGCGTCAGCATTGGACCAAGTTCAGACAGTGACCAATAAATAGCTTGAGGCCGTCGTATTTTCGCACTCACACGCACTCACGCTTTCGCACTTGCCTGTTCAAAATATAGTTGTTGTGTTCCCTTTCTCCGGTACTAGGCACTGGAGCGAGGTCAGCATTCATGTACAACAGATTGCTTGTTCGAAGTTTGGCGTCCGTGCAGTTTGATTTTGAACAGTCCATCATGGTACAGTTAGTGAGCCGTATGAACTATATAGTGCATAAAAGTGGTGTAAATGCCCATCCACCCGTCCACTCACTCACTATGTCTCCTCGCATGGTGACGAGACATTTGCAAGCCCACTGCTAAGCTCGAAGAAAGGATCAACAGTCCAATACCCAGACTCCCAGTAATCCTACACATTGTCCATCCGGAAAGCTACTGCACAAAACATTGCAGGAGATTTACTTTTTACCCACGATACTGCCAAGCTGTCCTTGCGCGATTACGTTAGGGAGGAGCAGTATGAGGAAGTGTTGACCTCGGCGGAGCAGCGCATTTCCCTGGCCGTGTCCGCGACACGAGGGGAGCATGTTATTGCTATTCTGCCAGCACATGCTGCGAGAATCTGAATTATCATGTTGGGAAACCACTATGGGCAGTGGGAGGACAAATATTTGTTCACTTTTGACTGACAGGCTGTAACCGTTCAGTGCGTTTCGGTGCCTAAGCGACATGCCGCCAGAGGGAAGCAAGAGGGCTCAGATAGTGCCAGATTGCCTATGCCTAGAGAGTGGAATTCAAGATGCACAGGTCGGTTTCAAACCACGGACCTTCCGGGCAGTAAATTCACGCTATAACAACTGAGCCATCTCGTCCTGACGGGTTGTGAGAGGTTGTATTCGAAACTGCGTTCTCCCCATAAATCCTCAAGCTATTTTACTATCTATCTCTGTCTCATTTTTCACTCGATCACATGCTGTTCAGGAATAATAATGCACGGCATCAAGTAAGCCCTATATCTAGAGTCGAAACGGTAACATTCTCCTCTCTAATACTCCGCATAGCTGCACTCAAACGCAAGAAATATAAATGATTGACTGAAACAACTAGATTTTTGAAACCAAAGTAGAGTGTGAGGACCGCACACAAATCAAGATCTCATGTCCAGCAAAACCGAATACGCTAATTTCATATTTGAACTATCAGATACCGTACGCTTCCTCAGCGTCACAGCGAGACGTATGGATCTAAAACATCTGTCAAACTTTCCCCTGGTGCAATCGATAAAGCCATCTAGATATGTAAGTAGAGCTGTATGGTCAACATTTTTAAAACCAGCTCACATCTAGCCTCACAGATGGATGGATGGAACAGAATAAATGTGAAGAGAAGGAAAAGGTACTTACTCTGTGAGAAACGGCAAAGCAGAATCCCCAGTGATTGGTTTTGGTACAGTTTTCGTCCGCTGTTCGTCGTACCAACCACCAATAAGGCTTTCAATTCGGGATAAAACTGGTTTCGAAGGCGGATATTCGCTAACCACCAGATCGCGGAAGTATTTGCTTGTGTACAGCAGTCCAACAACAACAGCCGACGAACCGACCAGTGCCAACAGGAATTTTCTTAGTAGGCGACGGGGTTTACGAGGGGGTAGTTGTGTGCTTTGTGATTCGGATCTGTAATGACATCACAGTGATTACACTCGATTGAACTAAACTAATCAGATGGTGATCATAGATCAATTCCCTTCCCCATCCATGATTATAAACAGGCACCAACAATCCTAGGCTCGGATATCCATTCACAGAGCATGAAACCCATCATTCTTTCACAAAAATGAATTGGTGAGTAAAGAATAAAACGGAATTTGCACTGTCACAGTGAAGTCTACGTAATCATAATCGGTCACATTATTTTGCTAAACTGTATTGCTTATGGTATTCCGGTAACGAACCTTTTCATCGCGATTGCCATTCAATCTTGATATCTTCTTGTGCACGGCTACCCTGTGGGACATACAAGACAAACAAAAGCATGCAAGCTTCTTCAGGGGATTTATATATGAAAGTTTCCTTCAGTTTTTGACAACTGCACGAGTCCAGGAGCCCCACACTCATTCTTTGGTTCCTGATCTGGGACGTTACCTGTCGATGTAACGATGGATGTTTGAGTGTTCTATGGTTGCTATGGTAGCTCTTTGGTGCACGTTGACCTTTCCACCTTGAGGAAATATTTCCTCGGTTGAATTCCACCATCATGGACAGTGGACCCACGTGCCTCATTTCAAACACTTTGACGAATTAACGTCTTTGAAAACAGTAGCCTTACTTCAACATAGATCAAAGGTATGAAATTGTCCACGTTTTGTCCCGATATGTAGCCAAATATTTTATGCCTGACAATTCTCACCCACTTAAGCGCGCATTGACGATGTCAACTCGATTGGCGGTGAAGTGTTTGCGATCCAACTCCCAACCTCTGCGAACAGGACAAACTACCTATATTCCGCAACATCGCCGATTCTCACAGCTAGATCCGTTCCTTCTGATCAGAGTGATACGAATAAGCCATTTACTATCCATGGGGAACAGTAATTTGCGCTCAAAAAATTCGCAAATAACTGGAAAATCCCAGAAGAGACCTAGATATAATATTTCAACTTCAAAACGCCTCCAGGATATACGCGACTGAAGCTTAACGAAAAACGATCACAAACAGATTACGGGGTCGACCTCACGTTTCAATTTACATAGGCCAGCGATTGGACGAGAGTGGCTTTTTTCTGAGGGAGTTTCTTCAAACAGAGGCCGATTGAGAATCAAGTAGCAATCTTTTATGAAGTTGTCTGACACCCATTTCCCTACCTAGATATGTAGTGCAGAGCAAAACGTAAGAAGCATTTTGGTAACATTTCAAATCTTGTGTCGATAACGTTGAGGAATATTGTTAGATCGAGTAGACTCATTGGTTGTTGGCCCATTCGTCGAGCTTGCCAGTTTGCTTGCGCACGTTTCGTCACTGATGAAAGAAATGACACCGGTGCACTTTTGATTGGGTGTTTCCTGTACTTGTGGTTGCATTTGTCCTCTTGAACTGACAGTAGCTCATACGTGATGAGCTAACGACGAGTAGGTTTTCTGGCTGCTTGCTGTGTGCTGCTGTTTGTATGTGATTTTAGTACTTTACACTTCCTCCTTCGAGGAAGTATGTATGTTATCGGATTTGACCGGTTGTGCCACTTCGTCTACCACGTATGTCTCTTGGTTCACTTAAAATATCTGGCAAGTCATTGCATAAAAGTAAGTTGTTACGATTGTTTTTCCAGCTGTGTGCGTTGTGGCAATCTTTGAGGTTCTGATTGACCACTGTGGCGCCTATCGCTGATACCAAATTGAGTATTCCACATACCGTGATTCTCTCGGCATTTCTGTTGGTACGTGACTGACGTGGTTCCACGATTTCGTGGGCTCTACATTTTTTGGCCTTATAGTAGTACGTATTCAATCCACATCTACTTCTGTGTCCATCGTACGACAAAAGACTCCGCCACAACTTAACCAGTCCAGAAACAGCGGTGAGATCCACAGATCTCAGTGAAAATATTCGACAGCAAATGAGTGAAGCAATCACACGTTGGCTAACCTATGTTACAGACCAGGTGGTGATTTCTCCAGAAAAGGCAAGAATTAAGCAGCCTCTGAAAGAATAGTACCATTGTAGTTTTGTCGAAGAACGCATGATACTCGTCGTGGACAAATCATACGACTCGGGCAAAACTAAAAGCCTGTTCTACGACAACCACCCTCTAGAAAACATTGAAACTATAAAACTACACATCTGGACAGAGTTAAATACCTCACAGCTACAAATGACGAGTGCTGGAGAGGCATTCTGTGCTTCCATGCAAAGAAATTGCACCTCTACCGAGAAAGGTAACATATAACATCTCAAATCAATTAAAGGAAAGGCTTGAATAACTTGCCAGTGGACCCATTCTCAGTCAACTATTCAAAACTTCAAGACAAATTAGGGGCGCAAGAACCACGCATGACGAGATGGTGATGTCATTCAATTTGGCATCACTATTTACCTTGGTTTCACCAGGGCAAATTTTGCCAAACTACTGGACAGCCATGGAATACGAGATTTAGTCCCTCGAGAATGGACAGACTTGGGTTTACCCAATCTCTGCTTGATGACACCCCGAGTTTAGCACGGAATGTTTCGAACAACTTAAAAGAGCCCAAATGGAATCTACAACTTCAAGATCTACGTCGGATGTCGCGATACGCAAAGCGAAAGGAATCGTGTGATAGGAAATCAAATCTAAGTTGATATGAATTAATGTGAATTATGTCTTATAAAACGACCGTAAGGCTATTCCGGCAACATAGGATGGTCCTAGCATCTAAACATACCAGTGTATTAAGGAAAACACTACGCAGAGTGCGAAAATACTAACTAGGACAAACTTGGAGAAAAATCCACAAAAATACCAAAAAGCTAGCTTTCAAAAGCCACGCAAGAATATTAGTTCAATTGAAGCGGCGTACAGATAGCTCAGTAAATGACAAGTGAATGCGAGTTTTTAAAGGCATTGTGCTTCAAGGAAAAGGCGTTAACGTTGACATTGATCTGGTACATTATTCAATATGGTCAAAAGAAGTCCAGAGTCACTATACATGAAACTGTAAAGCCAAAGGAAACCAAAACCAATAAAAGAATCGCAAGGCATGCAAAACCTGGACAGTATCCCGCAGCTGTTACCAGAACACAACTCCCCAGGTATACTAAGTGGATCAATAACCTTCGTCACGGGCGAAGCGAATTAAGTAAGTTTGACGATTCCCATACCGTATCACACCAGAGACATCAAAAAAATTATCAAAACAAAATTTGAACACTACCGAGAACGACGGTTCCATTAAAACAACCAATTACACGGAATTCAGAACACAGCGCGACACAACGGACAAAAAGGAGCAATCTTTAACCCATCAGTTTGGATATATCACCCAGATAAACAGTACTGAAGCGAACACAAGAGATGACACCCACCAGATCACGCACGGATAACGCCTCCCCGGATGGTAATTAAACCTTTTAAAACCAAAATGCCAAGCTCGGTAAACAGGTCAGTTGCTAATGAAGCAAATATTGTGTCCGACATCGCACATAAGACCTTATGCAGGAAGAATCTCAATGAGCATGAGTAGAGTACGCGCCTCTTAGAGTTTTGATACGCTAATAGCATATAAACACTACTGTTTTTAACGGTCAACTAGTTCTGAGATATTATCTTCACGTATTACCCACAAAATGCAAGACGCCGGATATAATAAGTCAGATAATCTTGTGATCAGTGAATTATTGGTTCACGGCTTTGGTAGCTTCGTCTGTAAGGTGACCAATGAAGTCACATGGGTATCTGTCCACGTTTGCCTCGAACACGTTACCTAAGAAGGACTCGGGGGACAAAGCAAACAAACACTGGAAATGATACAGAGTTAATTGGATGAAAGACCACTGAGTGCGGTCGCTTACAAAGAGCAAGAACACAGAGACAACAGTGTGATGTCATGTGACTTGTGATCGACGTAAGTCGAATGGTGCGGGATTTGCGCGTGTCCAGGGGGTTAATAGACGGCGCTTTCCGGAGCTACTTTACGTTGTCAAGTCACGATCCTGACTGGACCAAATAGCGGATAATTCGACATTGCTGAACCAGCAAAGTGTGTAGCTCCGACGACACTCAACTTTATAATAACCATATTTATTTCTTGCGATAATCGTTCAATAATCGTTCAACTGTAGCGCCCTTTCGGTGCCCAGGTACCATGCCACGCGATGGAAGCGCGAGAGCTGGGATACTGTCAGGTTGCCCAAGCCTAGACAGGGGAAGTCGAGAGGCAAAGGTCGGGTTCGAATCACAGACCTTCCGGTCAATAAATTTGCCCTCTAACCACTTGGTCCATCTCGCTCCATTTATTTCTTGTTGCGTGATGGCTCAAGTGGTTAGAGCGCGAATTTACTGACCGAAAGGTGCGTGATTCGAATCCGACCTCTGCCTCTCGAATTCCCCTGTCTACGTTTGGGCAACCTGACAGTATCCCAGACCCCGTGCTTCCTTCGGGTGGCATGGCAGCTAGGCACCGAAAGAGCGCTATGGCTTAACGAGTATTTATTTCTTGTTGCCATCTTATGATCTGTACTCCACAGACCTTTCCAAGGAAGATTCGGAATAAGAAACACTGTGTTCCTTAGAACATGGTGGTCGGAGATGCATAGTGCATATCCCAAATATGTTATCCTGATAGTCTTCAGTCGCTGTCTGAGTGACTCTGTCCCGTTAGCAAGTACCTGCTTAATCAACATTTCGCTGCGTACACACTTCATTAATAATAAAAACGTTCAGCCTCTCGGAAGAGGATGAGAAATTTAGAGTAAATAAAATAAATAAATAAATTGTACAGCTGCAACAGCCTTTCGGTGACTAGCGGCCATGCCACACGAAGGAAGCACGAGGGCTGGGATACTGCCAGGTTGCCCAAGCTTAGACAGAGAACGTCGGGATGCAGAGGTCGGATTCGAAACACGGAGATTTCGGTAAATAAATCCGCTCTTTCCACTGAGCCTTCTCGCCCCGGGATCAGACAGATAGCCACGAATTCACTATGCATACACGGAAAGATGTTGGTGAACACTGGTTGTCGTCAAAAACGATTCGATGGTCTCCGGAAAATCCATGAATTTCAGTTAATGAGCACGAGTGTGTTCTCAGTTATCTAGCCGACGTAGACGCGATCGCAATAGTTTCAGTCGATCTTAGAGAACAGTTAGTTCGTTCCAGTGCTTTGAATTAGTCCTTAAAGCAAGCTGGTTACCTCTTTAGTGTGCTATCTCGTATGGATGTGCGATTTTTATAACCAAAAAACCAGTGGGGCACTTTCTGCCTACATGAAATCCGTACTGTTCGAAGCTTCGCTGCCTAGGGTCTGTGATCTTCACTTCCACAAGCTCCTTTACAAGCACAGTGGTTAGGTTGCAATGGACTCTCCCCTTTTCCTCACTAGTCCATCGCGGTTCATAACTTTCGACAAATCATAAGTGCAGTTAAACTAACCTATTAAAAGTGCGATCCAGCTAGGTGGACGGCTACTCTGTTACGACCTTAAAAAAGTGAAAAGCAAAATTTATCTCACATCAACCAACTGCAACTCTGCCTACTTGAGACTGATAACAGAATAGTTTCTGCTAATAACAACCATTACGAAACCACGGCTTATCGCAAGCGAAACCAATCCCATCGCCAGATGCACTATGGCTTAGACTATTAGTTGAACACGAAGGAGATAGCGCTTCGGTTCAGACACAGCAAGGCCCTGATCATTCACATCGATCTAGTATTAAAAAACATGAGACTATTCGCATTAAAAGGTTCGTCAGAGTTTATCCACCGTGCTCTGTAACCCACAAATATTGATACAGTAACCAGTACGAGATTTGAACTCATATTCCCTGTAGGCGCACCAGATAGGCAACAAACAACAGGCTGTGGTATTCGCACAACACACTACACAGGTAATTAGGCTGCAGTAAGGAATAAATCACAGGAGAGGATCAACCGTGTTGATTCAGACCGCGCCTAGATAATCCAAACCAGAGGACAGTTGATGGTTGCTTGGGAAAAGCACAAATGACATTCTGGTGGTGCCTCGGGCCTTCAGTGAGCTGAACGAAAAATTGAACCCATCGAGTGCACATTGTGCCTTCGTTGAGAATCATCGAATCAATTTTGACAGCCCACACACCTTACATCAGAGACGGACCAAGCTCATGATCTGACACTCAGGGGGCACCATCCATTAACCGATGAACAGGCGCACATAATTAACATGGTTGACTCCTATCAATCACAACGCACGCGGCACCTAGTTGCCGCGCCAACGGAAGGAGGCACCAGAGTTAGGATATTGTTAGATTGCCCAAACCCAGGCAGGAAGTCTAGATTCTGAGGTTGGGTTCGAACTACGGAACTTCCGGTCCGTAAGCTGGCGCCTTAACCATTATGTTATATTGAGCGCTTGTGCAAGAATGAAAAGCCCAAACAGCATCAAATGTGGGATAAAAAAGTGAGCATAGTCATAGGCGCTTGACGTAGCAAGTTGGGATTTTTTCCCACAACTGTGTGCCTCCAGTGAAAGTTGGGGAGCCGAAATCGGCCTGGTTTTTTTTGTTTACAAAGTTGTATTGTTCCGGGAAACTGGGCTTAGAAACCACGATCAATTAACCTTGTCGTGAAGTTCATGATATTTGTGAAAATCTTGAAGAGACGTTTCAGGCGAGAAATCTCACGAGGCTGAAAGACTACTTCAGAGCTGACCACCGGACACGTAAGAATATCTCTCCTATGTTTGGATGTTTTTCTAGACATAAGATAAATTGTGCGCACTACATGGGCACATCTACCGGAAGTTTTGGCATGTTTAAAGCGACACTGAAACTTCTCACAGAAACCACAGTAATCTGAGTGGAACACAGAAAACGGGTTGAACGTTCGAAACCCAAAAACCGGATGGTACGTTCCCACACCAAGAAACAGCACAATAACAGTACAGGAGGCCTCAAAACAAACATATTATCACGAGCACTATTCTCGTTGATTAAATCTGGAACGATCAACGGTAAAAAACATACCCGGTGGACATCGCAGCTGACGGAAGATAGGCCAAGTAAACATTTCGCCGGAGAGTAGCAGGATGAGGGCAGTCAACCTCGAACACAAGTCTAGCCAGTATCCTTGAGCTATTTATTGAGGCGCTCAGTTGTCGGAATTTCTCTAAGCGAAACGGTGTGCGAAGCATGTTGGAGCTGCAAATGACGTAATTGACGATCAATTGCCAAAACTGGTGCAGACATACCAGAAGACGGTTTATCAAATATGTCTAACCGGGAAACCTGTTAGGATATCTCAAAAAAGCGAAGTGGTTCGTAAGGATCAGAATCCGTGGTTGCTGACCAACTGTGAGGCTGTGAAAAGAAACCATATGAAAATTCCGAGGTAAACAGGACATCTTGACAGAAGACAAGTTGTTAGAAATACACTAACTTTTCCTGTGGACTCAGTGCTTAATTAGTGAAAGCGATAATCCTGGAGAAAACAAACATGTCAGCCTAGTGGGTGCATTTTTAAAACAACGTAGCCCGCGCTGCTGAAATCATACGGTAAGTTGGTCCCTAGCTGACATGCCACCCGGGAACACTGCGAGGTCGCCCAGGCCCAGACAGGGGAAGTCGAGTGGCAGATGTTGGATTCGAACCACGGACATTCCGGTCAGTAAATCCGCGCTCTAACCACTTGGGCCATCTCGCCCCAAGTTGTGGTATACCAAAGCACGTTTCAGTTGAATGTTGAAAAGTGATTCAAATGCATTGATTCAATTTGTAAATGTTGTGGTCGTCGATGAGAAGGGTGGGGGCAGTAGCAGACGACTGCGCATCAGGGAAGATAGTATAACCAGTGAACCCACATTCGGTGCAGAAAAATCGGGTTGCCATTCAAATGGCTCATATTCACATTGGACGTAAAACTTAGGAAGCCATATTAGATGTGGTAGCTTCATTGCCGCGGCTCTTCCACTTTATATATTTCTGGCAAGTTCTTGAGCTGTCGTACTTGCTCATGGAGAATCCACCCTCAAATCGCCGTGATAATTGAAGTGAGTGGAGGAAGCGGCTCAGAAATACACCCTCGGTATAACAGATTGTGCTGAAACTACATCGTTACTCTATTTTTGCCAGTCCTACACCAAACGATTTTACGATGTAGTTCAATCAAGGTCTTGATCATCACAACACGTAATTGCGTGAGATTATTCAAGAGGCCTCTGGACAAAATCTCGGCCAATAACCGGACGTCATCCACTGCACTAAATCCGTGTCCAGTGGCTAGACAACTGCAGATTTTCAATCGGTATGGTTGTACATTAGCACCATTACCTTCATCATCGACAGCATGACATTAGTGTTCAATACCGGTGCTTCGCTGCCATACAACCATGATTTCTTTGAGGGCCTTACTGTGAAGAAAAGAGTGAAGGTGGATGGAGAAGGTACATAGTGCTAGCTTACTACAGTCATTCAGAGGTACATAAATCTCCAAACACTCACTCAGGCAATCTGGATAAAATTGACAACAGGAGCACCACTGACATGGGCTGGCAACCATAGCTTGTAGTGTCTCCAACCATGTGCAGTGGGGATCATACGCCTCCATCCTGGAAGGCGAGTAGCACCGACAGCACCCAAACGTTTCGTAATCTCCTTTATACCCCTCTCCCAAGTGAAGGGTCGGCCACCTCCCTCTTTACATCACTCTGAGTTGGGCATGGAAAGCAGCACTCTCTTCGGCAAACGATATCCGTCACGAAGAGACTGGATCCCGTCACGAGGTCGGCCACCTCTTTACATCACTCTGAGTTGGGCATGGAAAGCAGCACTCTCTTCGGCAAACGATATCCGTCACGAAGAGACTGGATCCCTCCCGTAGGAGATTGGACCTCACCGTGGTGTGACGGTTTGCGCACCTCAGCGATCCATTGAGCTATACTGGAGAGTGTCCCGCGACACTCACAGAGTCTCTGACACCAGGTTGGTCAATGGTTAGAGGTCTGACGAACACAGTCTCCTGGCCCGCCAGGTTGGGGGTTGGAACATGTGGCGACTTGTTCCGTAGAAATGGTAA